CTGCTTACATGTGATAGAGTACGATAACTGGGAGCAATGAAATTGTATAGATAAAATTATTTTTTCCACAGAAATGCACTTAAAACTAGAAAAGGTGTTTTGTTATATGAAGAAATCCCTCATGACCTGATAGCCAGCTGCAGAATGCAGTACATGAAGAGAGGAAGCTGTGGTGTGACGTGTCTCCTGAGTGTGCCTGATCTGTCATTTTAAGCAGACCACCTCCTTCCAGGAAAAGGTGCTTCAAGTTGTATTCCTCAGAAATCATCAGATATTCATATTTGCAGTTGATAATTCCTTTTTACTTTCATCCTTAAGTTTGCAAATTATATGCAAATTTAGAGGATTTAGGGAAGCAAACCACAATTCCAGTTGGGACTTGGCCCACTAATTCCAGTAGAGCTTTCTAGGGAGCTGGGCTAGACCACCTGAGAGACCTTTTTTGTTTAGTTGTTTTTGTTTGTTTGTTTTGACATACCCCATTCCCCCAATAAGTTAAAGAAGGCTATATCTTTTGAGGACCAAAGCCTAAGCTGACCTGTATTTCGTTCATGAAAAGAGCCTGAACAATTTAAAGAGGCATTTTAATGCCTCACAGTGAGCTGGCCTGGGGGCCTTCTGCAAGTGTTGGTGATGGGTTGGCAAGACCACCAGACCCCTTTTTTTGGGGGGGGTCCAGTCGTGGGGCCTGAACTCTGGGCCTGGGCACTGTCCCTCAGCTCTTCAGCTTAAGGCTAGTGGTCTACCACTTGAGCCACAGCACCACTTCCAGCTTTTTTTTTTTTTTCTGCTTATGTGGTGCTGAGGAAACAAACCCAGGGCCTCAAGCATGCAAGGCAAGCACTCTACCACTGAGCCACCTTCCCAGCCAAAGACCGTCTTTTTTAACTCACCAAATAGTCACATCCAGACACATTTGAGAGTTTTACAATTTTGAAAGCTTTCTTGTTGTTTTCTGTTGTTGTTGTTGTTTTGTTTATTTCATGGTGTGCTGCAACTCACTGCTAATGGGGACAAGGCAGTAATGGAGACTGGACCATGGAATTGAGGTTTGGGGTACCAGGGGACCTTTTGTCAACTTTAGATCCCAAGGTTCCATTCACCAGGGTTTTTTTTATTGGTTTCATATAGAACAGTATGTGTAGAGAGTAAGGTATAAGCATCAACATGTGAGAATATTTTTGTATACAGGTGGTAGATGACATCCTCATCTTAGGAACTAGAGCTAAACAGTAAACAGATTGCAATTTGCATAAATCCTTAGTCTACCCCCAGGCTCCCAGGAAGTTTAAAGTCAAATTAACTCATACCTAGGTTAGAAATCTGAATTCCTGAAGCCAGAACTGATTTACCTTTCCAGGAAATTCTCAACAGCCTGTGAGTCTTTACTCCACACACAGCCTTCCAGACTCCCAATCCTGTTGGGTCTCACAGCTCTGCTTTTCATGCTGTCAGTAGGGTGCTATCTCACGTGTTCTCTAACTTCAGACACATCCCCAACATAGCTTTCTACTAGTTATTTTGAAAATGCAGTCTCTAGAATTTTCTTTCCTGGCTGATTTCAAATCCAAATCCCCTGGATTTCAGCCTTCTGAGTTGCAAGGATTTAGTATGAGCTACTGGTGCTCAATCAGGTATTTTTTATTATATGTATTCCTCGCTGTAGAATACCTTATAGTCTTGGAAGGAAAACAGATCTACTAAAAAGTAAATGAAATGGAAAATAAACTTTTCCTTGAAAGTGTTCAATCGTTTTGTGTATTTTTTTTAATTATCTGAGCCAAATAATTAAATGTGGGTTCATCATAGGGATTGCTTAAGAAAAATTAAACTGTAATTTGTGAGTTTTATTGCTATTTCTATTGTTTATGTGAAAAGCTGTTTTACTGTCATTTCCTACTTACCATAATATGTTTTAAAGTGTTATGATTATGTTTTAGTATGTAACATTACATGCTCAGAGTTTATAGCTTAGAGCTGTTTAAATATTAATAGGTCCATTAACAACTATGAGGCTGTGGAATATGCAGTAATTAATTTTCTTTATTTTTCCTCCTTTGTTATACAGGACAGTTAACGTACACATAATAACATACACTTAAGAAAATGAAATAAAAATGTTTTTGATTAAATTTTATGTTTGATTTGGCCATCATCTATATTTTTAATAAACATGGGTTTTTTTAGTCTAGACTGATTCTTAGATACCAACTGGGTGTCCCAAAATATATCTTAATTATGAAACTAATTATACAGCGCTCGAGTAGACATTTTGCTCAGCCTCATGGATTATCTCACTTCAGATGCCAGTCATATGACACACATGTGTCTTTCTAACCAGGTGTTCCTAAGCTCATTTTTGAAGGTGGGCACTGTAAGATATATTAAATAGGTAGGTTTCATTACGTAGCCGATGAAGAGGACACCACACAATATTCAGGCAGGAAAAGAAGTTTATTTACAGAACTGCCCACACCATACATGGTGGAGAAGCATGGCCAAGGAGACAACCCCCCCCCCTTCCCTCCTACCAGGACTTATCTAGGCCAAGGACAGGAAGAGGTGTAGTCAGGTGGGGGTAAGGTTTGGCCCCACTGGATCTGGATGTGATCTCAGGGCCTTGGACTCTCCTATGGTCAGATGGGAGGCACTACCAGAGGTGGCCCAGGATGTGATCTAGCTGGAGGGGGAGATGATTGCTTCCAGGTGTGCCAATTACCTTGGGAACACAGATACTGGGTGGAAACTTAGCCAAGAGGTAAGGAGACCTTACGGACAGTTTACTGGGGAAGCTCTCAGAACTCAGGATAGTGCTTCCCTGTCCTCCTTTAATTGCTGGTCTGTTGTGAAGAATATCACACAAGGACAGTGAATGGAAGAGATACTTAAGTGGAGGAGGTGGCACACAGTTTCCACGCCCTATGTGAGTGCACACTGTTCCCAGCACAAGAATGGAGTCACCAGTTGGGAAGCTCTGAATTTCTTTCCTGAGGAGCTTTTCTAACCCAATGTCTAGAATCCCCCACATCTAATTTCTGAGAATGGAGTAGGCTGAGGACATTTTGTTGTCCAGCTCCATCCTTAAGCACGAGTAGTAGAAATATTAGAGTGCATGTTACAATTCTTTTTCTTTATTTTCTATGTTTACTTGTTTTTTGTTGTGGGTACTTGGACTTGAACACAGAACCTGGTGCTCTTAGCTTTTTCTGTTCACTAGTGGCACACTCACACTTGAGGAATGCCTACTAGCTTTTTGCTAGTTATTTAGGGATAAAAATCTCTCACAGACAGGCTTTTTAGGTAGAATCTGAACCTTGATTCTCAGATTTCAGCCTCCTGAGTCATTAGGATATAGGCATAAGCCACTAGCATCTGGCTATAAATTTATTTTTAACTGATACATAAACATAAAATTTACATGTAATTAATAATTGAAGTACATAATTTAAGGGTACAGATGTAAGGGGGAAAATGGGGGAGAACTATGGAAAGGGTGGTATTGATTAGGTGCATTTTATTTTTAATCTGATGGAACTATAACCTTTTTGTACAACCTTTTAATTAAAAACTACGTGGAATAATAGAGTACTATATCACATTTTGATATATGGATGCACTGTGTAATGTTAAAATGAGTTTAAATTTGCCTGACTTCTCAAATATATTTCATTTCTTCATGGTATAGACTTTCAGAATCCTCTTTAAAGAAAAACTTTTTGAAATATATGTGCAGTCATCTTACTGTGGGAAAGAAATACTGAACTTTTTGCTACTATTTAACTAATTTAGTATATATGATCAGACCTTTCTACTTTTCTCCTATATTTCCTCAGCTCTGGTAAATATATTACTTTCAATTGTTATGAAAACAACTTTTTTAGATTCTATATGCAAGTCATATCATGAATACTTGTCTTTCTGTGTCTGGTTTATTTCACTCATTGACCTCTGGTTCCATTCATGTGGTCATAAATGACAGGATTTTATTCTTTTATATGGCTGAAGAGCATTTCATTGTGTATATATACTGCATTCTCTTTACTTATCAATTGATAGAGATGGTTTCTATTTCTTGGTTGTTGTGAACAGGTTACATTGAATATGGTAGTAAGATGTCTCTTGGATATACTGGTTCATTTCCTTTGGTGTTAACTTTCCCAATGCTCAATTTTGTTATATATAAAGTAAAAAAATATTCAATTCCATTGTATCACATGTATATTATATGTAGAGCACTTAAAATCTTTCCAATAAGAGACTAATAACAAAAGTTAAAATTTGCATATTTATTATTACTACATTATTTAGTAACTACTAAATAATGTAGTAATTACTATTGTCTGTTATAGTCTATCAAGCCTTGAGCAATCAAGTTTTCAATAAGGATTATAAAGATTCCAAATGAATTACACAAAATCAAGACACATTAAGAATGAGTTGACAATTTGAATATATCAAAGCATTTTGAATGTTATTACTCCTTAAAACGAACTATTTTCTGAATAGGAAACATTAGGCTTAGAGTATTACCTAACTTTTCCAAGATAAAATTATATAGTAATCAAGTGGCAGAGTGTAATAAAATCCACATCTGCTTCATTTGGAAGATCTGTTGTTTTACTCTGCTATGACTTACTACAGCAGGCAAAACAAAAAAAAAAGATTTTTTTTCAAATAGACATGTGCTTCTGAAATTCATATGCTACTGGAGTAAGAAGCATTTCTATGTATATGTGTATTATACATACTATATATATATACTGTATAATAATTCTCTAAGAGAATATTTTATTGTGATACAACATAAACTGATGGTTAAGATTTAACTATAATATTTGCACTTATAATCCATGTTTTAATATTTGACTATTAGAATATAAATTAGACTATTAGAATATAAATCAATGTTTCATTTTTGTTGTAGTTTCATAAACTAGTATATTATATGGTATTGAAGAAAATTTTTCAGCCATAAATTTACATTTCTTTTGTTCTCTTAGATGTAATAAAGGAACAAAATCGAGAGTTACGAGGTACACAGAGGGCTATAGTCAGAGATCGAGCAGCTTTAGAGAAACAAGAAAAACAGCTGGTAAGTAGAACATTAAATTTCATTTTAACTTTTCAAATAAATTTGAGTGTTGGAATAATTAGCTAACTAGGAAAAAGGCACATGGCAGGTGGTAAGTGACTTACTTGACTAGAAATGGCATTTAATTCTTTCCTGCCTTTTTTTTTTTAACCTTGTTGTGTTATCCTGCTTCCTTTTCCAAGAATTCTGAATATTCTGTTGATGTGGAACCAAGTTATTCCTGAAATTCACAAAGCTATGACTGTCTAGGAAGAAATAATTTTCAAAACAGAACTATTTTCTTTTTGGATGGCCACAAAAATAAAATTCTTATGGAAAGCAAGAGAGGGTTATAAAAAATTTACATTAACTCCTAGGTGACTTTTTCATATTTTAAAGATAGTGACTATGACAATATTATTTAATAGGCTGACTTAATTCATCTTTATATATTCTTTATGCAATGAATTTAAATTGGTCATACAACACATAGCAAATTTGCTGTGTATTTACTTTGCTTCAGACTCTTAGTTTCTACATAGATAATTTGTATTGTGAATGAATAAAGCTTTATGAATTTTTTTTCAATTTTTAAACCAATTTTATCTTCTTTTTTCTAATACAAGCTAGAACCATACAATATTGGCTAGAAATAGTATGAACAGACATTCTTATCTTTTTGTTATCTTAGTATGTTTTTTGTTATTGTTATTGCAAAGGTGATGTACAGAAGGGTTGCAGTTACATCCATTTCTTTTTGAACAGTGTCAGCCTTTTCCTCACTTTCTCCCAGATTTTCCCTCCTGACCATCCCCCGTCAAGTTGTATAGTTGACTTTCAACATATTGTCTAGTGAATATCACTGCTATATTTGTTCACCCTTTGCCCCATTGTTTCTATCCTCTTCCCTTACACTCCCCCAAACAGATAAACTTACATAGAGAATGAAAGGTATAGAAAACAAATCCATTGACAAAGGAACAAAAACAATAGCAAAAAAACCCCTCTTTCCATTTCTTGGAGTTCATTTCAATAAACATTATTTTATATGATCATATGCATACAGCTATTGAGCCATTGTGATCCTCTCCTAAGAATATCCTTCTTTGAAAATTGGTTTTTTGAAATAGTGTCTAGTTGAGTTTGCCATTTTGTCTACACAGGCACTTTTGTTAATTGATGTCTATCATATACCATTTAGATTAATGTAATTACCTGTATTATTAGCTTTAAATATGCTACCTCTCTATTTTCTTTGTTTTCCCTGTTTATGTCTGAATTTTCCTTTTAGTATTTTCTTCTGGGTTCTGTGTGTATACTCCTTTGTAGACTTGCTTTGTATTCATGGGTGAGTGTACCAGTTCTTGTCTTTCCAAAAATGCGTTAATCATCACCTTCAGTTATTCATTCCCTCTATGGCTTTATGAAAGCATCTTTCCTCTTAAAGAAACAGGGAATTTTGTGCCTGTTGGATCTGTTCTTCTGAAATGATCATTGAAGACTACCTCAGTTTTGTTTGTGTGTATGTGTGTGTGTATGTGTGTGTGCACGCATGCATGCATATGTGAGCATGCTAGTTTTAAGCCTTGAACTCAGGGCCTTGTGCTCTTACTTGACTTTCTTCCGTATGGAATGCCAACTCTACCACTGGCAGCATACCTCCAGTCTATGAGGACTTCCTCCTCATGTTACTCACTTGTTTTGTTTCCCCTCTTAGGAATTAGAAATTAAGAAGATGGCCAAGATTGGTAATAAAGAAGCTTGCAGGGTTCTAGCCAAGCAGCTTGTACATCTACGGAAACAGAAAACTAGAACTTTTGCTGTAAGTTCCAAAGTGACTTCTATGTCCACACAAACAAAAGTAATGAACTCCCAGATGAAGATGGCTGGAGCAATGTCTACCACAGCAAAGGTACATTGAATCCTGTATATTCACACATTTTTGAGTTTATTAAAGTGATTTAAGTATTAGTATTTTAAAAAGGCAAAAGATTTAGGTGAATTTATATGATTTATATGAAGAGAAATTAGTACTGATAGTTAAATCCGATATTAAAACACCTTCTGATGGTTGGGTAACTAGACTTGAAGGAGAGTTTACTCATATATTTACTAATAGGTTAAGCAAAGATATCTGATACACGCCTGCTATTTAGAGGATACAGCATCTGAATTGGAATTCCTAGTTAAGGTGTTATAAATGTGGTAAATTGGCCTAAATATTTCTTTAAATCCTCTTATAGAAGCTATAATGACTAACAGTAATACAATAGAAAGGAAAACCAGACCAGGTTTCAGCCTTCCTGTAGCTTACCGTCCATTTATGAGAAGCCTATGTAAGAAGAAGTGTGTACACTTGGCTTTGGTTCAGATCTTATTTCACTCAGCAGCTGTAGGACCTTGAACCAAGTATTGAGCTTTTCTCTGCCTCCATTTTCCATATGTAAAAGGCTTAGAGCAGGGCCTTGCTTACAATATAAATGTATAGCCATAGCTACTCTGTTACCCTCATCAATATTGTTACTGGTATTATTTACAACAATAAAGTAAGTTGCAATTTAAGAAATAAAATTTAAATCAATAACTAAATTCACATCTCTAGGTGATGAGATTTTACAAAGCTATATGTTCTAATTTGTTCTAATCAGATGTGTTAGGGACTACTCCCCTAAGAAACTGGTATATAAACTGAAAGCTGAAGTGTTACTAGTAAAAGCTGGTGATAAGGAGCACTCTAGATAAGGGACTAGTTTATGTAAAGGCCCTGAAGCAGGAACTAGAACAACACATTTAACAAAATTAAAAAAGAAAAAGATCAGTGAGCCTAAAGGGCAGTGGTAACAAATTAGATTGTCTAATTTGGAAGGTTCCAGTTGCTGTCAGGCAAATTATAGAATTTGGCTATTAACTCTAGAGAGAGACACTTGGGAGTTTATTTGAAACCATTATGCTTTTTATATACCAAATTAACTATATAATACCTATGTGTGTATGTGTGTGTAATATCTCACACTGGCCATAGTAGACAAAAGTAGTGTAAACGTTTAAAGACTCTACATATATTTCTGCAAAACAATTTTTATTGCTATTCACTATAGTTTTAAGTATACTAATAGTCCTATATATGTGTGTTGGTATGTCCTCTAATCCTTTTTCATCTAAACATTAGATGACAATAGTTAAATTTAAAATTCTTCTTAGCTTAGACATTATCTACTTGCAATATTAATAAGTAAATTTATTTTTCCCATTTGAATAGCAATGAGTTTTATGTTCATAAATGATTTTTACTGCACAGGTTTTTTTGTCTACTGTTCTGAAGAGTTTTCCCACACTGGACTTGATTTTGTAGATGTTGAGCAGATGGTTTTTAAATGAATATTTCATGTTTTTCTAGAGTATTTAACACTCTGTGTTTTCTTATGACAAGATGCATGTCTTTTTAAAGCCTATCTGTATTTGATGTATTCCCTCTAGACTTATTTCATAGCAAAATTTTCATAATTATGTAACTACCTGAATATTTTTTCATATATTTAAAGACAATGCAGGCAGTGAACAAGAAGATGGATCCACAGAAGACACTGCAGACAATGCAGAATTTCCAGAAGGAAAACATGAAAATGGAAATGACTGAAGAAATGAGTAAGTTTAAGAAGTTATAATAAAATGTAGTTTACTCATCTTTGAATTAACCAACTTCATTTACTAGTGATTTTTTTATTCTTATCCTGAAGGCACAGAGATGAAATGAGAAATAAGGGAACAGTTATTGATTATACATGCAAAATAACTTGTGCATAAAATAGCTCTTGCTTGTATAAATGTAAGCAGTTTCAGAGTCTTGTTGACTCTTACAAACTATAGAAAATCTATTGGTATTGGAAGTAGGGTGAATAGAGCTCTTTCTTTTGCTTTTTTCTCTCAGAATAACATTTATAGTTAGTTTACTTCTTTCTGCATTTATACTACCTACATGTTGAGGTTGAAAAATAGTGAATAAAATGAAATAGCACATAGAATTTATCTGTACACCACATAGATCTTGCAACTCTTAATGTTATACATTTCTTTTCTACATTTACTACATTTTTTCTTATTTATAAAAGTGACTCCATGTTACATGTACAATCATAATCTTATGTTAACTTTTCAAAAACATACAGCATAACTAACATAAGCTCATGACATTGCATATTAACAATAACTGTTCTGAGCCATTCTTATTTCAACATTATGTAAATGATAACTTTTTTAGTCATTATAAAGAGCCTTAAGGGAAAAACATATTTTCAAAACTCAAGGAATGAACTACCAAACTAAACACGATGAAGGCACATATATTACTACATATATTACCTAGAAAGAAAAAAATAGTTTTTGCAATACTGTGTTTGAACTCAGGCCCTTGAATTTACTAGATAGACAGTACCACTTGAGTCATGTCCCTAGCACTTTTTGCATTAGTTGTTTTTCAGTTAAGCTCTTCTGCCCCTTTTTTTCTGGAGTGCACTTCAGACCCATTATCCTCCTACCTCCGTCTCTCACATAGATGGAATTGCAGCATGTGTGGCCACACCTGCCCTTATTCTATAATGATTTAAAAATATATTTATTTATTTATTACATTGTCTGGCTTCATAAATCTCCTTAGAATATTAACAGCTTTATAAGACTTTTGGCTTTTTACTACCAAACTCTCCCCATAAAGATCACAGGAATACATACTTTGTAAATAATGAATGAATGAACCCTTCATGGGATCCTAATTAATATCATTTATATTATTGTTTTGAAAAGGTATCTCTCTCATTGCTTTGTAAAAATGTAGGAATATGCCAGTTTACTTCTGCTTATCAGCTATCATTTCTAGCATTTGGGGTATAAGAATAATAAATATTTAAAATGTTAGGGTTGCCATAGTCGTTATTGTGACTAATGAAAATACTAGAATAATTTCTAGCATTTTATTTCAGAGTATCTTTTTTTCTTCTAAAAATGTAGTGATAATATATACACTATCTTTGGGAATTCCAGAATCTGTATAGTTTCTATATGTCTTTATTTTGAAAAAAAACGTTTTTTTTTCAAGACTCTTGAAACTCTGAAAAATTTTAATGATTGAGAGATTTGTTTTGTTGTTTATATAATGATTAGAGTATCTACCAGGTTCATGTGGTTTCCACTGAATGGCATAAATGTGAACACCTATTGACAGAATTGATTTTCCATTAAGCTGTAATGAAAAGTATCAGTCAGCCCTTAATCATATGGCTTTCATATTTTTCACAGTTGTTCCAATTTGCATTTTAGCAATTTGTAACCCAGTCTGAAAGAATAATTATTTTTATATGCTTTTTCAAAACTTGTACCTAAAGATAAATTTTAAACATAAATGACCATATTTTTTCCAGCAATACTGTTCAAGGAATGGCTCACATTCATGTTTTGGAAACAGGATCTTTGGAAAATATTTATTATGTCTTTGGTTAGATTGGTTAAACTTGTCCTGAAAGCATTCTCCTCTTCTAATTCCTGATTGCATCTGTGTGGTTGTTCTCATCTGTCTCCATCTTTCATCTTCATTCATCTTTACAAGCTCTGACCTCTCTCATGACTTTATTGCATCTAGATCACATACTCTTGAGTTCACTTTCTAATACTTACCTCTGGAGTATGCTCATCAGATACCCTCAGTGGTTTCATGCTGATCATAGAGTCACATACCATAACCATACATCAAACAGTTTTTTGGTCAAGCCTTTTTATTTTACTATTGACAATACAAATACCAGAGTGGTAAAATGACAAATGCCTTTTCCCCCCAAAGTTGCATGGACACTAAATGAAGTAATTATTTGCCCTATTTCTTATCCAAAAGCTTTTTAGCCGTTTTCATACCTAGTTTACTAAAGTAACAAAATCAATTTTTAAATCATGCTCATACAAATCAGATACTATAACCAATATCAAACTTTGTAACTAATGTCAAAAGTGCATAGACAAAGCAGAGAGATGACTGGAACATGAATTGGGTTATGAACTGTTTGCAGAGTATTCATTCCCCAGATGGTCACCTACCTTATGTGCATTTTCCAGAGAGTCATGGCTCATAAGCCCACAGATTGTTAGTTAACTATTGCAGTACCAAACCAGGAACATCCCATAGAAAGAGAATGTTTTGGCCTTTTACTAGGAGCCCAAATACCATCATGGACATGAGATCAGACTGGCTACATGCCCTGCATCTTCTGTCATTTCCTAAGAAATTCATTCAGAGGAACTACTATTGTAAGCCATCTGCTTTTCTTTTCCTTTTTTTTTTCCTTTCTAGCTATTTCCCATTTACACACCTTGTATAAAAACCAAGTGGAATGACATACTCTTCCTGTGTGTGTCCTTTTTGCCTTGCCAGTCTCTCTATATATACCTAATGAAGTTAGCTCTTATAGTACTCTCATGTGGTCCTTCCAGCTGGATAAAACAGCTTACCTCTGAAACACTGCAAACATATATATATATTTTAATTTTTTATTTTTTGTCAGTTGTGGGGCTTGAACTCTGGGCTTGGGCGCTGTCCCTGCGCTCTTCAGCTCAAGGCAAGCACTCTACCACTTGAGCCACAGCACCACTTCTGGTTTTCTGGTGGTTAATTGGAGGTAAGAGTCTCATGGGCTTTCCTGCCCGGGCTGGCTTTGAACCATGATCCTCAGACCTCAGCCTCCTGAGTAGCTAGGATTATAGGCGTGAGCCACCAGCACCTGGTCTGCAAACATATTTTCTTACTTCCCAAAATGTGTTATTTTCCCATTTTCTTCTCAAGAATAAACCACCCAATGACTTCATTTTTCTCCAGCTATTCTTTCATTTTGGGGACAATTTTTTAAAAAATATTTAATGGGATATTGAACAAACATTATGCTTCCTATCTGTTGAGTATAAATTTAAGAAGCGAGAAGATAGGATTGTGGACATACAAAGTGTAAATTGTCTCCCAAATATTAAAGGAATATTTGATTTTTGCATATTTTTTCCTATTAGTTTTCTTAACTACTAGCTGAATGGATAGTTATTGAACTGATATTTTAAAACTTTAAGCCTATAGTCTTGAATATCACATACGTGTTATGTGATGTGATTTTTAAAAATTATTTTATTTTATTTTGGTTCTGAGATGAAATTCTGACTTTTCACTTACCATTCTTTCCCTTCAGCATTACAAGTAGCATTTTTAAAAGGAAATCAGAGTAGATTTATTCTGTTGTGTTATAGCTCATGTTGTGATGAAATCATTCCAAATTTAGTGACTAAGAAATATACTTTCCAGTATGCTTCACTAATGTAGGAAGTTACTTTTATAGTTTATTCACTCATGTAAATTTGTCTTCCTTAATGGTTAAAAATATGTGCATAATTTGACTGCCTTCTGAACTGTAAGTCTAACCTGAAATCTATTTAAAAGTAACGCATTGCTTTATTTCTTTCTTTCCTCCAAGTAAATGACACGCTTGATGATATCTTTGATGGCTCTGATGATGAAGAAGAAAGCCAGGATATTGTGAATCAAGTTCTTGATGAAATTGGAATTGAAATTTCTGGAAAGGTATGAGTAACCACTTTGCTTAGATGAAAATAGTTTGTACCATTTTTGTCACAGTTGCTTTTAATTTGTCCTTTCATGTTCTTTCCATGGCTTTATACTTGTTTCACAAGTAAATTACTTTATAGTCCACTCTTTGTATCCTAGTCTAACTGGTTGCTAATACACATTCTCTCACTTTTTGCTTCACAATAGATGGCCAAAGCTCCATCAGCTGCCCGAAGCTTACCATCTGCCTCCACTTCAAAATCTACAATCTCTGATGAAGAAATCGAAAGGCAACTTAAAGCTTTAGGTGTAGATTAGTCAAAAAGCCATAATATTTTCACTTACTTCTTTAGTGTAAAGGTAAAACAGAGTGCTGATTCGCATTATTTTGTAAAAATGGAGACCAGGAGTGAACAGTTGGTTCCTTACCCATGGCTATTTTGAGTCTTTTGCCAAAGAATGACAATGATGCAAAAATGGGAACAGTTTGGATTTAATTAGAACTATTTAGGAGTGATGATGTGTAAAAAGTTGACTCTTCCCTGCATGGCATAGAGTAATCATATTCATTACTTAGTGTGAGTTTATGTTCTAAATCTTTTTTTACATTGAATACAAAATTCATAGGCGCCAATTTAAAGAGACTCGTAAAAATATTCGAAGTATATCATTAATTCTGTATCTGTTGCTTGTCCTTTGTAAATGATTATGTGTTATGACAATAGGCGGTTCAGCTGCCAAATTATTTTTAAATGATCTAAAAGAAGAGTGCTATATAAACATCTGTCTTAAAAACTGTCAGAGATTTTCTTTTCTTTTGTTTCTTTTTCCTTTGGGAGAACATTCTAGTTGGTAAGTTTATTACCTTTCAAAATGTGCTTGGCACCTGCCTTAAATAATACAAACATATTGTGCACATCTTTAAATTATTTTAACGGGCAGAAAAGAAATACCTTATAAGCTAAAATTGAAGCTTCTTAAATTATCTAGGCTTTCTTGTAAAGCTTATAAAATGTGTTGAACATGATTAGTAAAAACAGACCAAAAAACAAAGACAAAATCCCTGCATTGGTAATAATTTACTGAAATGAAACTGCATTTTTGGTCTTTCTTCCAAGAACTGAGATTTTTTTCCATATGAGAGATAATAACAATATCTGTGTAATTTTGAGTTGTATTAATGTACATCTTATTCTCTTTAAATTGCACCATTATTCTTAATTACTACTACTATGACAATACTTGATGGAAATTTTTAAATAAACACCTTTTTTTTGCTAAATAAACTACAACTTTTGTCAGAAATTACTGCTTAAATGTATATTACTGTATTAGAAACATTTTTGAAGGTAAAGTTGCTATGGTATGTTATGAATAGGGAGAATAAAATAAAAGATACCAGAAAAGATAGAAATGCACTTCAGAATTATGTTAGTTTTGAAAACTATGTTGCAACATATGAATCCTGACTCATCTCACCAAGAGAATTCTGGAGGATCACAAGTGTTCTGGTTAATTTGAACATTGGCATTTTTGTACTTACGTTGGAAAAATCATACATTTTAGGACTGAAATATGTGTGACACGGAAGGTTTGAGTGAACCAAGGCATCTACTTTAGAATTTGAGTTCAAAAACTAGTTACCGTTACCAGGACATGGTTTGATCTTGGATGCCTAGAAAAATGCCATCTTACCTTATTTATTTACATTTCTTACATTCTTACAGTCTTACCTTTCTTTATACATAAAAGGGCTTTGTTAAAAAACAAATACTTCCAAAGAAATATTTTGTTAAAAAATTCAATAAAATTTTATTATCGCTGTCCCCTTTCTTTTTTTTTTAAATCTCTTTTATTCTGATTTTGCCTTCTAAAAATGGTAAGATTTATACCTGACTTTTTACTTCGTTTTTTGGTAAGGGCTTTGAATTCAGAGCCTGGTACTTTGCTAGGCAGGCAGTGTACCACATTAGCCCTTTCTGCTTTTAGTTATTTTGGGGATAGCTAAATAACATTTATTCCCAGGCCAGTCTAAACCATGGTTCTCTTACACCTCTGTAGCTGGAATGACAGGTATGAGTCGCCATGCTTTCACTATGGTGACCTTTAGCCATGAGACTCCTTAATGGCTGGGCTGGGAAGGTGGCTCAGTGGTAGAGCGCTTGCCTTGCATGCCTGAGGCCCTGGGTTCGATTCCTCAGCACCACATAAGCAAAAAGAAAAAAGC